GAATTGAACTCAGGACATAGGCTTGCCAGGCAGGCACTGTACCACTGTTTATCCCCAGCCCTCTAATCCTAGTTTCCATAGTGGTTGTGCCAATCTGCATGCCTGCCAATGTGGAAAAAGGTTCCTTTTCTCCTATAGCCCCTCCAGCATTTGTTGTTAGTTCATTTCTTGATGATAGCCATTTTTCTTAGAATGAGATGGAATCTCAGTGTTTTAATTTGCATTTCTTAAATGATAATGATGTTGAACATTTTTTCATATATTTGTTATTTGTACTTCTTTATCTGAGAAGTGTGTATTCACCTCAGATGCCCATTTTTGGATTGGGTTGTTGAATCTGGGAGATTTGGTATTTTTCATTCTTTATATATTCTGGATATAAGTCCTTCGTCTGAGGGACAACTGGCCCAAATTTTTTCCCAATCTGTGGGTTGTCTTTTCACTCTGTTGGTGATTTCTTTTGATGTGAGAAAGCTTTTTGATAAAATGTGATCCCAGTTGTTGATTATTTAAAGTATTTCCTCTATGGTCTGGGGTTTGTTCATGAAGTCTTTGCCTACACCTTCCTCCTCCAGTAGATTTGGTGTTTCTGTTTTAATATTTGCATCTTTTTTTTTTTTGGTCTTTTTTGTTTTTATCAATACCAGGGATCAAACTCACAACTGCCTGCTTGCAAGGCAGACACTTATGCCGCTGAGCTAAATCCCCAGCCCCTAACATTTACATCTTTGATCCATTCTGATTTTAGCTTAGTGCATAGTAATAGATATGTGTCTAGTTTTAGTCTTCAGCATTTGGAAAGCCAGTTTTTCCAATACCATTTATTAAAGAGGCTTTCTTCCAGTGAACATGTTTAACTTCTTTGTCAAACATAAATTGGCTGAGTGTGTTTGTAGTTGTATCTTATCTTCTAATCTGTTACACTGATCCTTGGGTCTGTGTTTTCTTTTGGCCAGTACCATACTGATTTTATCACAGTAGCTTTGTAGTATGCTTTCAAGTCCAAGATTGTGATTCTCTTGCCTTGCCTTTGCTTCTCAAAATTACTTTTGCCATTCTAGGTTTCTTCTGCTTCCAGATGAATCTTAGGAATGTTTTCTGTAGTTCTGTGAGGTATGCTCATGATAGTTTGATTAGGAATGCACTAAGTCTGTATAACAATTTTGGGTGTATTGCCATTTTCACTGTGTTGGTTCTTCCTATTCTTGATCAAGGGATGTGTTTCCATTTTCTAATATCCTCTTCAATCTCATTTTTCAGAGAACTGTAATGTATAGATCTTTTACTTTGTTTGTTAGATTGATTCCATTTTTGTGGGATGCTATTGTTAAAGATGTGTTTTCCCTAATTTCTCTCTTAGTGAATTTGTTGTTTGTGTACAGAACTGCTATTGAGTTTTGAGTGTTGACTTTATCTAGCTACACTACTGAATTTGCATATTAAATGTAGAAGTCTTCTGGTGGAGTTTCTGGGTCTTCTGTGTAGAGTATCATGTCATCTGTGAATAGTAATAATTTAGCTTCTTCCTTTCCTATCATTATTCCTTTTATTTTTTCTTTTTTAACTGCTATGGCTAATTTTTCCAGAAATATATTAAATAGGAGTGATGATAATGGACATCCTTGCCTTATTCCTGATGTTAGAGTGGAAGCTTTCAGTTTTTGAGCACTTAGTATGATGTCAGCTGTTTGTTATAGAAACTTTTATCAGTTTGAGAGAAAAACCATCTCTTCCAATTTTCTCTAGCATTTTTACCATGAATGGGTATTGGACTTCGTGAAATACTTTCTCTTCATCTATTGAGATGATCATGTGATTTTTGTCCTTTGCTCAGTTGATATGGTATGTTACATTTATTGATTTGCATTTGTTGAACCAACCCTGCCTACTTGGAATGAATCCTACTCAATCATGGTACATAATCTTCTTGATGATTTGTTGCATTCTGTTTGCCTTTTATCTTATAGAGGATTTTTGCATCTATGTTCATTATGGTGATTTGCCTCTAATTTTCTCTTTTTTAAAATTTTTAATTTTTTTTTTGTCTTTTTCGTTTTTATCAGTACCAGGGATCGAACTCACGACTGCCTGCTTGCAAGGCAGGCGCTTATGCCGCTGAGCTAAACCCCTAGCCCCTTGATTTTCTTTTTTGCTTGGATTGTATGAGGGATTCTTCCCTGTATAAGGGTAATACTTGCTTCCAGGAATGGATTTGGGAGTATTGCTTTCCTTTCAGTTTCATTAAAATGTTTCATCAGTTGTGCTATTAGATCTTCTCTAAATTTCTTTTTAGAACTCAGCCATGTAATCCATCAGGACCTGGGCTTTTCTTTGTTGGTAGGTTTTAAATTAAACTTTCAATTTCATTTACTCATATTGTGTTATTTAGAATTTTTGTATCTTCTTGATTTAGCTTTGTAGTTCATATGTACCTAGGACCCTGACCATTTCATCTGTGTTTTCCATCTTTTAAGAATAAGGTTTCTTAAAGTAAGTATGATGATTTTCTGGCTTTCTTTAAGATCTGTTGTTATCTCACCTTTTTATTTCTAATTGTATGAATTCTAATTGTATGAACTGTATGAATTAATTTCTAATTTGTGAATTTTCTTTCCTTTTTTTGATAAGGTTTGCTAAGGGTTTATACTTTTTTTTAATCTTTCAAAGACACTCCCCTGCCCACTTTTTGTCTTTTTGAAACAGGGTCTCACTATCAGTTCAGGATGGCCTTGAGCTCACTTTGTAGCCGAGGGTGGTCTCAAACTTGCAAGAATCCTCTGGCCTCAGCCTCAGGAGTGCTGGGATTACAGATGTGCACCACCACACCAGCATCAAAGAACCTAATCTTTGATTTATTGATTCTTTGTATTGTTTTCTTAGTCTCCATTGCATTAATTTATGCTCTCATTTTTATAATTTCTTCCCTCATATGAGCTTTGGCTTGACTTGTTCTTCTTTTTCTAGAAGTTTAAGAGTCAACATTAAGGGGCTGGGGATTTAGCTCAGTGGCATAAGCGCCTACCTTGCAAGCAGGCAGTTGTGAGTTCGATCCCCGGTACTGATAAAAAGGAAAAAGACAATAAAGAATAAAAAATAAAAAAGAGTCAACATTAAGTTGTTTATTTGAACTTGTTCTGTCTTCCTGATATGGGTATTCACTGCTAGAAATTTCCCTCTTAGGATTGCTTTCATCATGTCCCATAAGTTCTGATATATTGTGTCGGCATTATCATGTAATTATAAATACTGTTTAATTTCTTTAATTTCATTTGTGACTCATTGGTTGTTCCATAGGGTTTTATTTAATTACTATATATTTGTGAAGTTTTTGTGATTTCTTTTGCTATTGATTTCCAATTTCATTGCACTATCATCAGATAGTATACACGGGATAATTTTAGTTCCTTTGCATTTAATGACACATGTTGTATGGACTGGTATGTGATCTGTTTTGGAGAATGTCCTTGTGCAACTGAGAAGAATGTATACTCATGTTGTGGGGTGAAACACACTATAGACATTAGTTAAGGCCATTTGTTTACAGGTTTGGTTCAGTTCTGATATTTCTTTGCTGATTTTTTGTATAGTTGATGTAGCTATGTGACAATAGGGTTTAAGGTCCCTCATTACAATTGTGTTAGTGCTTATTTGATTTTTCATGTCCAATAATATGTCTTTTATATACTTGGGTATTCCAGTATTTGATACATACCTATTTATGATTGTAATATCTTCTTGGAGTTTTCCTTTAATGAGAATGTAGTAGCCTTCTTTATCTCTTTTGATTAGTCTTGGCTTGAGGTTCACATTGCCTGCAAATAGTCACCTCTGTTTTTTCTGGGTTTCTGTCACATGGAATATTGTTTTCCATCCTTTAACTTTCAGCCTATGAATTTCTTTTTGAGTTAAATGTGTTTCTTGTAGGCAGCATATTGTTGGCTCTTATTTCTTTTTTTTTCCACTTGTAATTTGCTTTGAGACTCTTATTTCTTGATTCATTGTGCTGTTTCTTTTTATTGATGAGTTGAGATCATTTATATTGATGGTTTTAACTGAAATGTACTGACTTAGTCTTGTCATATTATCTACTTTGGTTCTTTGTCTTTCCCCTCTGTTTAATTGCTTGTCCTGCCTTGTGGCTTATTCATATTGGTGTTCTTGGATTTGTACACATTGTTATCTCTCTACAATATCTTTCAAAACATACTGTAGAGCTGGTTTGGTGGTCATGAATTTCTTCAGTTCTTTGTTATGGAAGTATCTTATTTCTCTTTTCTGAAAGACAGTTTTGCAGGGTGCATTAATCTGGATTGGAAATTATTTTCTTTCTTTGATGCTGTTGTAAATCGAACTGTTTTCTTCATAAGATTTTCAGGGTATTCATTGTAAGTGTAGTTGCCAGTTTAAATATTAATAATTTGAGGGATCTTCAGAAAGCAGTATAACATTTTTAGGAGTGGAAAACAGAGTTTTCCTTTCTGTTTTGATTATTTATGATATAAAATTTAGTTTTAAATTTATATTGACGTATGAAAATTCCAAACACTGTTTTTAGAAATTTATTTCTAATATCTGTGACAAAGAGAAGATGCTACTTTTTAGTAAACATCTATAAAATCTAATAGAAATGTTAGCCTTTTTTTGAAAAGTTTTAAGACATGTAATTCCTCAATTTCTTTGCCTGAATTTTCTAATTCCTTGATTGTTCAATGTGTAGATAAATAAATTGTGAAGTTAAAAACTAAGGCATAGTGGAATTTCATCTGCTTACCACTTAACTTTACAGTTTACCAACTGGAAGCTGCAGTGCCTGGATTATTTTAAAGCAAGTCCAGACATTCTGTGATTTCATCAGTAAATTAATGATGTACTTTATAAAGCAGGTTTACTCTTTGTAACTATATTGTACTGAAAAACAACTTTGATTGACTTTGCTTTAAATAAGTGCATAATTTTACTAGACAAGTAATTAAAATTTGTCTTTTGTTTTTGATACACAGGTATCCAGCTCTTATGTAAAATGGATGTTTCTCATACTTGATATTGTACTTTAAGTAGATTATCTGTTTAGTAAAATCTAAGCTGCCATGGAGGAAATACCAGTAAAAGTTGCTGTAAGAGTTAGACCTCTGCTTTGCAAAGAAGTTCTTCATAATCATCAAGTTTGTGTGAGAGTTGTTCCAAACACCCAGCAAATTATCATTGGGAAAGATAGAGTCTTCACATTTGACTTCGTTTTTGGCAAAAATTCTACTCAAGATGAAGTTTATAATACGTGCATTAAGCCCTTGGTGCTGTCACTCATTGAGGGCTATAATGCAACTGTTTTTGCCTATGGACAGACTGGATCTGGAAAGACGTACACCATCGGAGGAGGCCATGTTGGTAAGACTCTCATACTCTTGGACTTTTGAGACAGAAAAAAACTAAAATGTGATAGTACCTGATACACAGTAGGTGTGCAGCATGTTGATTAAATAATGAAAAGATGACTAAATCAAGTGTCATCACAAGATCATTACCTTTGAGAGACTTATTTTTAAATATTGAAATTTCATTAAGTAATCTAATTTACATATTTTTTCTTGAGGAAAGAAGTTTAAGACAATATTTAGTGATCTTTCTTTCCTTTTTCCTCTTTCTTTTCACACTGCAAACACTACCACTGAGCCACCCTCCCACATTTGTGTTTTTCTGCTAAAAGCACACCTTTTTTTCTTCTATGGTAAGGAAGACTTCATTTAGGATTATCATAATAAGTGTTGTTTTTTTGGGAGAAAGTCACACTGAGTTCTAATTACCCAGACTGTGCTCAAAGTTGGCAACTTCTTGCCTCAGCCTCCCTATTCTTGGGATTACAGGTGTGCACCACCACAGCCAGCATAGGCATAGATTTATATACTATTTTAATAATATGTAATGGCTAATGATGGCTATTGAGCTATTAAATATTATGTATTTTCAGACTGAAGTATTGCATTTCAGGAATATGAGACCAACATTTCTAATATGAAACTTAGATTACCAAAATACATATTTAAGTTTTAATATAACTATTTGAAGTTTTGCTTTTTAAATGTTTTAAATTATTGTTCTTTGTTATCTTTTGAAGTGGGAGAGGTCTGTTTTTATTTTTTTGGTACCAGGAATCAAACTGAGTATCTTGCATTTGCCAGGCAAGTGCTTGTGCTACTAAGCTACTATTCCTGGCCCAATGAGCTATTTCTGGTCAGTCATATACTCTAGATAACCTAGATTGCTTACTTGTTTTATAATTAGAAAAATCTTCATTTTCTTTCGGCTAATTCCAAAAAGCTCTTCAAAGAATTACTCACTATGTCCTTTGTATTGGGAAAATATTTAGCTTCATGTACTTGCCATGTGATGACTGTCTTGCATCTTAAGTTAGGTGACAGGCTGCTATCTTCATAGAGGTTCAGTTTTTTAGGACAATTATTTCCAAAAATATAAACTTCTGTAATTTACCTGAAAGTAAGTAAGTTGTTTTTAAGGTTCATTCATAAGCTAGTATTGCTATGAATGTATTTTTCGTAGAACAACACTAAAAACTGATGTACAGATTTTCTAAGCTAGTTTATAAAAACTTATACTTAAATCTCAATTTATCCCCTTGTACTTATTTTAAGTTTTATCTTGTACACTTTGTTTTCACTGTTTTAAAGATCATGGTTATATGTAAATACAAACATACGTAACCTTTTTTTTTTTTTTTGTCTTTTTGAGAAAGGGTCTCTCTGTGCAGTTCAGGCTGGCCTGGAGCTCACTTTGTAGCCTAGGCTTGTCTCAGATTTGCCTCCTGAGTGTTGGGATTATAGACATGAGCCACCATGCCCGGCTCTGCGTAACCTATTTTTCCTCCCAGATCTATTTTATTTCAAGAAGAAAAAGAAAGAAGAAAAAAATGTTTCATGTCAATCATGGGGCAACAAGGTACATACATTGCACATTATCATCCCCAAATCATTCACCCAGAGCACAAGACACCTGCATTCAGTTGTCTAAATAATGCCAGCACAAATCCTTCTCCTCAGTGAACTCAGAGAAATCAGTAGTAGAACTATTTTAACTATTTTTATATACGTATTCATATACATACACATATATATGTTGTTTCTTTCAGCTTCTCAAATTAATGAAACAATAGGATTTTTACATATCTGTATCTTATTTATTTTACTAATAAGTATGGTATCAAGTCACATTAAAAGTATCAAGTTACTTTAAAAGTCTCCAGTTTATCCTTCTTTGGCTGAGTAGTACTCCGTTGTGTAAAAATAGCACATCTTTTTATCCATTCCTCAGTTGATTGGCATTTAAGTTGTTTCCAAGGTCTGGCTATTACAAAATCTACTGCTATAAACATGATTGCACATATGTTGCTGTGGTATGATGCTTTTAATTCTTTTGAGAAGATACCCGGAAGGAGAATAGCTAGGTTGAATGGGACTTCTAGTCCTAGTTTTTTGAATAATCCCCACATTGATTTTTACAGTGGTTGCACCAGTCTGCATTTCCATCAAAAATAGAGCAGGATTCTTTGTCCCCCACGGCCTTTCAGGCATTTGGTTGATCTTTTGATAATAGCCATTCTTTCTGGGGTTAGGTGGAAACAGTGTTGTTTTAATTTGCATCTCTTGAATGCTCAGTGTTATGGTTTGTGTCTAAGTGGCCCCCCTGAGCCTCATGCAGTCATGGAGATGGCTAAATTTTGTGATTGGTTTGTTGTTTAGTGCTTGGATTAGCTGTGTGAGTGCTGCACCTGGCCAGGGGCAGAGCTGGCATACAATATAAGGGAGGGAAAAAGGTGTGTTTTTTTTGCTCTTTCACCCTTTTTGCTCTTGCTGTTTGTGGCCGCCATTAATGATTGCCCATCAGCCAAACCACCCTGCCTTGGAGCCAGCTGAAACCTCAAAAACTGTAAGATAAATAAACCTTTCCTTGCCTAATTTTGGTATCAGATATTTTGTCTCAGCAATGAGAGAAAAGTAATCAAGAGAACCAATGATGTTGAACATTTTTTCACATATTTATTTGATGTTTGTATTTCTTTATCTGAGAAGTGTGTATTCATCTCACTGCCCATTTTTGGAGTGGGTCTTTAAATATGAGAGTACTGATTGTTTTGAGTTGTTTATATGTTCTTGATAGTAATCCTTTGAGGAACAGCTGGCAGACATTTTCTCCCACATTGTAAGTTGTCTCTTCACTCTTTTGGTGGTTTCTCTGGCTGTAAGCTTTTCAGCCGAGTGAGAATCCAGTTGTTGATTCTTTGTGATAGTTCTTGTGCAGTTGGGGTTTTGTTCTTAAAGTCTTTGCTTACACCAGTGTCTTCAAGAGTTTTACCTACTGTCTTCCAGCAGATTTAATATTTCTTCTTTTAATAGTAAGATCTTTGATCCATTCTGATTTTAGCTTAGTACATGGTGAAGGATATGGGTCCAATAAAATGCATAACCTTAATTTACCATTTAACTTGCATTTTTTTCCTCTTTTACCAGGGTTGAACTCAAGGCCTTTGCCTAGAGTTTAGTTTTTATTTTTAGACAGGGTCTTTTGCTAAATTACCTAGGCTGGGCTTGAACTTTTGATCCTTGTTCCTCAGTTTCCCAGAGTGCTGGAAATTACAGGTGTGCACAACCACACCTGGCTTATCTTGTACTTTTAACTGTGTAAGTCCGTAACATCAAATTCATTTACAGTGTTAATGAAATAATCACCACTTTTTTCAAAAATCTTTGTCACTCCAAGCAGAAGCTCTGTACCCATTAGACAATAACTACATGGGCTGAGAATTTAACTCAGCAGCATAAGTACCTGCCTGGCAAGTACAAGGTCATGAGTTCGATCTCTGGCACACACACACAAAAAAGACAATAACTACCTTTCCATTGTAATTTCCAATTTAATTTCTATGAAATTGACTTTCCTGCCAGGGACTTAGCTCAACAGCACAAGTGCCTGCCTAGGCACAAGTGCAAAATTGTAAGTTCAATCCCTGATACCAAAAAATAAAGTAAAAACAACAACAACAAAAACAGAGAAATTGACTTTCCTAGGTATTTTATGGAATTATTTAGTATTAGTTTTTCTGTGTCTGGCTTCTGTCGCTATATTGTAGCATGCAAAGGAACTTCATTTCTATTTATGACTGAGTAATGTTCATATATATATATATATATATATATAACCTTTTATTTAGCTTGTTTTGTTAATGAATGCTTGGGTTTCTTTCCTCTTTTTGGTTTTATGAATACAGCTGCTGCAGACACTGGTGTGCAGGCATGGATTGGAGTCTCTTAGGGTTTTTTTTAGTTTGTTTTTTTTTTTTTTTTTTTTTTTTTTTTTTTTTTTGGTCTTTTTCCTTTTTATTGGTACCAGGGATCGAACTCATGATTGCCTGCTTGCAAGGCAGGTGTTTATGCCGCTGAGCTAAATCCCCAGCTCCCTATTTTTGTTTTTTTTTGAGACAGGCTCTCACTATATAGCAAGACTGACCTTGAACTTGACATAAGGCTAAATTGCAGCCATTTATAGAAGAGTGTATCTGTAGACTGTAATGTTAAGAGACAAAATCAGACACAGATGTTTAAATATGGCATAGCTTCTCTTTTATGAGAAACTCAAAGTATAAATAATTTTAAAAACAAAATAACTGAAGCAGGAGGGCTGTCACAACTTTAAGGCCAGCTTGAACAACATAGTGAAACCTAGTCTCAGTTAAAAAGACCAAAAGATCAAAAAATATATCAATAAATAAAAGGTAGACAGTAAGAAACAGGGAGATAGATCTTTCTGTAAATGGGAAAGGGACCAAGAGATAGAAGATGGTAGAGGGAGGTGAAGGGAAGGGTAATAAAAAGAATCAAAATACATTTAGAATCTATACCCTAAGATGATGAAAACCTTATGTACTACAGACATCAAAGTTAAAATAAATATATAAAAGTAAAGAATTAGTTTGAAAGGAAAACAGTTTAAGCTCAATTTTTAGCCTGTTATGCTTACTGTATCTATTAGGCATTCATTATGTTTAATGGCAGTCAGATTTATGAGTTCTCAGAGTTCATGACAGTAATTTGGACTGGAGGAAAAACTAGAAGTCAGTTACACAGAAGACAGTATTTAATGTAACGAGAATGGATGCAATCACCAAAAGAGAATATGGACTCTACAGAGCCCCAAACCTGAGCTCTGGGTAGTTCCAGTACAATGGACTAGCAACAGTGTCAGAGGGGGGACCATCAGATAAGAAGAAAACCAAGAATGCAGAGCCTGAAAACCAGGGGAGAATGTCAAGTTCCAGTGAGATGAGAAATGGCACTGACCAGAGGACTTAGTAAAGTGAAAGTTACTATGATCATCTTGGCGCAAGCACAGGTTCAGTGACGTAGAGGTGAAATATGGCCATTTTGACAATATTGATTCTGCCTGTCCAGGAACAGGGTAATCTCTTCTGTCCAGTAGGATCTCTTCTTTAATCTCCTGTATTTTTTGATCTATCCCATTTTCTGAGTTCCTGTACAATCTCTTTTTTCAGATTACTAAGGTTTTTGTTACAGAGGTATTTCACTTAATTTTTAAGTATTTGTTCTTGATGCTGCAGTGAATGATATTACTGTCATTTTTTTCTTAGTGAGGTTATTATTGCTGGACAGATATGCCATTTTCATGTGCCATGAAATGTGACAGCCATTACTTGTTTGTTTGTTTCCTTCTACATTGCTATATTTATTTGTACTAAGAGTGTTTTGTTTTGATTTTTGTCTTTTTTGAGACAGGGTCTTACTTTGAGTTCAGGCCGGCCTTCAACTCACATTGTAACCCAGGCTGGTCTCAAACTCACAGTGATCCTCCTGCCTTAGCCTCCAAAGTGCTGGGAATACAGGTGTGTGCCACCATACCTGGCTTTGCACTAAGGGTGTTTTGGCAGCATTTGTGGGGTAGTTTATATAGAGGGTCATGTCATTTGCAAATAAGTACAGTTTAACTTCTTTCCTGTACCTATCTCTTTAATTTCTTTCTCTTCCTTGATTGCTCTGACTAAGAATTTCAAGTACTATATTGAAGAGGAGTAATAATACTGGATATCTTTTTCTTCTTCATTTAGAGGGAAAGCTTTCAGCTTTTCACTGTTTAATATGATGTTGGCAGTAAATTCATCATAAATGGTTTTATGACACTGAGATATGGTTCTTCTAGGTGTATTTCCTTCGGGTTTTTTTTTTTTTTTATCATGATTGGATGCTGGATTTTTGTCAAAGGCTTTTTCTGTACCTGTTGAGATGATCATGTGATTTTTGTCCTTGTTTTTGTTTATGTGATATATTACAGTTAGTTATTTCCATTTTTTTTCTTTTTTTGGTCTTTTTCCTTTTATCGGTACCGGAGATCGAACTCACGACTGCCTGCTTGCAAGGCAGGCGCTTATGCCGCCGAGCTAAATCCCCAGCCCCTAAGTTGGTAGTTTTTAAAATGTAATACAAAACAACATAGTATAAAACTAATCCAAACAGAATGAGGAAGGCAATTTAGGTCTTCAAAACCAGACAATAGGGAAGTCACTAATGGCTGTCATAGAGTCTCTTCTTATCTTCAAAATAGCTGTCCATACTTTCATGTATATTGAAGTTCAACAAAACAAAACAGGCAGCAGGGCAGGTGTTGCTTGGTTTTCTGGCGCTCCAGGTCCCAGATGATGCAGGTCTCAGTAAATGCTGGTGGCTCCCATCCTGGGTCACCATAGCCTGCCACACTCACAGCTGCTCACCAGGGCTGGAAGGGTTGCTTGGTTTCTCAGTGCTCCAGGTCCAGCATGGCATGGGTCCCAGTAAACGCTGGTGATTCCTATTCTGGGCCGCCATAGCCTGCCATGCTCACAGCCACTCACCAGGGCAGGAAGGAGTTGCTTGGTTTCCTGGTACTCCAGGTCCCAGCATGGCACAGGTCCCAGTAAGTACCAGTGGCTCCTGTCCTGGGCTGCCACAGCCTGCCATGCTCATAGCCACTCTCCAGGGGGGAGGGGTTGCTTGGTTTCCCAGCGTACCAGGTCCTGGCATGGTGCAGGTCCCAGTAAATGCTGGTGGCTCCAGTACTGGGCTGCCACAGCCTACCATGCTCACAGCCGCTCACCAGGGCAGGGAGGAGTTGCTTCAAGCTGTTTCTTTCTAATGAGTTGACCATTTTGCTGCCAAAGTTCCGAAATGGCTAACATAATAGACATTTCTGCAGGCTTCTGCTTGAAACCAACAGTGTCAGGAAGCTGCTGGCCTTGAATCAGGGCCAGTTTCTGCACTTTTTTGCCAATATCTTGTTGAGGATTTGTGCATCTTCAACAGAGGACTGTTTATTAAAGAGACCGGCCTATAGTTCTCATTTTTGGTTAAGTCTTTTTCTGGTTTTGGAGTGAAGGTAATGCTACCTTCGAGGAGTGAGTTTGTCACTAACCTTTTCTTTGTAGTTGTCATGAGTTTGAGAAGTGTTGTAGTCAGGGGAATGGATTTAATACGGGACATATAATTTATAGAATTATAATGTTCACTCAGAGTCAAATGCAAAAGAGTGTAGGCAATCTGTCCACACATTAAAGATGCAAAGAATCCAGCTGAGGGCCTGGATCCCACAGTGATATTATGCACAATTCCTGGACCCTGGAGCCCATAGCAGTGTGCTCTGTGACTCCAGCTGGAGAACTAGAGCCCATAACAATGTCTTATGCAAGTCTGTGTCAAGGACCTGCAATGGGAAGGCCCAAAGGTCAGTGGTGGAAGCTAGAAAGTCTGCAGTAGCAAGATGGAGAATCTCAGTATTATCAGGCTGAGGGATCTGCAGGAAGCAACGCTCAAGGTAAGAACCAGAGCTCTCCCAAAGAAAACTGCAGCCACTCTCAGTGACAGCAGGGCCTCCCCTGATGATTAAAAAAGCTGAGTTCATATCAGGAAAGCCAGCACGACAAGCTTCTCCAGGAGGATCAACAGCACACCGTCTTCCCCTCCAGTTCTCTTTTTATGCTGTTGGCGGCAACCCTTAGATGGGTCTTCCACACCCAGCGCCATGCTGATTCAGTTCAGTTGGTTGTTACAAGTTGACCATTAGTTAATTTACCACAAGAAGTATTGACATTAGATCTCTGAATTTCGTGGAATTTAGCAGTGAATACATTGAATACTGGCCTTTTTTTTTAAGTTGGTAGGTTTTTTTTTTTTTTTTTTTTTTCTTTTTCCTTTTTATCGGTACCAGGGATCGAACTCACGACTGCCTGCTTGCAAGGCAGGCGCTTATGCCCCCGAGCTAAATCCCCAGCCCCTAAGTTGGTAGTTTTTAAAATGTAATTAATTAATTTATAGTGTTTTGACACAGGGTCTCTCTGTGCAGTTCAGGGTGATCTTGTACTCACTGTAATCTAGGCTGACCTTGAACTTGTGGCATTCCTCCTCCTGCAGCCTCCTGAGTGCTAGGATTACAGGTATATACCACCACGCTTGACTGATAGATTTTCTTTTGAAATTACTACCTCAGTTTTATTGCCTGTTATTGGGTTGGTCAGAGTTTTTATGTTTTTTTGGTTCAGTTTTGGTAGTTCATATGTACCTAAAAATCTATCAGTTTCTTTGAGATTATCCAGCTCATTGGAGTATAGCTTTTCAGACTAGTTACTGATAATCTGAATTTTTGGTGATATTTGTTGTGATTTCACATTTTTTAGTATTTTTTTATTTTAAAGAGAATAAAACTTAACAAAATAAAGCAGAATACAGCCAATCAAAACAAAACAATGAAAGTGATCCAGGATTTCAAAATAGGATATTAGGAATCAACAGTGGCTGCTATAATGCTTCTTATTATCTTCAAAATAGCTGCCTACCATCAGACATATTAAAATCAAACCAAATAAAATAGAAGAAAACCAATTAAAACAAAATAGTCAAAGCAATACGGGATTTAAAAACAAAATAATAGGAAATCAACAATGGTTACCATATGATCTTCACACTAACTGACCATACCATCAGACTTTACAAAATCAAATAGAACAGAATAAAACCTGTCAAAGCAAAACAGTGAAAGTGATACAGCACTTAAAAACAAGATAATGGGAAATCAACAATGATTATCATAATGCCTCCTGCTATCTTCAGAATTGCTGCCCATACCATCAAACATAGTAAAATCAAATAGGACAGAGCAGAATAAAACCAATCAAAACAGCACTGAATAAAACAAAACAATAAAATGGAACAAGACAAAACAGAGCAATATATTTCATTTTTTTTTTTTTCTTTTTTTTAGAGACAGGGTCTCACTATATTGCCCAGGCTGGAGTGCAGTGGCTATTCACAGGCGCGATCCCACTACTGATCAGCACGGGAGTTTTGACCTGCTCCGTTTCCAACCTGGGCCGGTTCACCCCTCCTTAGGCAACCTGATAGTCCCCCGCTCCCGGGAGGTCACCATATTGATGCCGAACTTAGTGCGGACACCCGATCAGCATAGCGCACTGCAGCCCAGAACTCCTGGACTCAAGCGATCCTCCCACCTCAGCCTCCCGAGTAGCTGGGACTACAGGCGCGCGCCACCACGCCCGGCAAGCAAAATATATTTCAAAAAGACAGAAGGAAATCCCCCATATTTGCTATATTGTATCTGTTATCCTCTTAATAAATGATCAGATTACCAGCCGTAGGCCTGCAAAGGCAATCAAACAGCGCAAGCATTAAGTTATTTTGGACCTCAGTTGCTATTAACTCAGCCTGCCCTCCCAACCAATAGCTTGCCTATGGGAGTAGGTGTTTGGGGAGAGATGCCATGATCTTGCCTCTCAGCTGCACACTAGTAGACTCATAAGGATGAATTGGCTTTTCTCTCTTCCTGGGCCCCTCATGGTTCACCACCTTTTCCATTCCTAATTGCATCGATATAGGTCTTTTTTCCCTTTTCCTTTTTTTGATAAGATTGTCTGAGGTTGATTCTTTTTTTTATGTTTTTTTACTCTCAATTTCATTAATTTCCTATTATGATATTTATAATTTCCTACCTTGGTAGTTTTGGATTTGAATTGCTCTTGCTTTTCTACCTTGACATGTACCATTAACTTATTTACTTAGGCTCACTCTGTTTTTCTGATATGAGTACTCATAGTTATAACTTTCTTTGTTATGATTGCTTTCATTATGTCCCATAGACATAGGGGATAGGTTTTAGTGGCATATTGTTTGATATAGGAACTGATTTCTTCCTTTTTTTTTTCTCCTGCAACCTGTTGATTATTTGTGAGTATATTTTTTTGTGTGTGTTGAGACAGGTCTTGAGCACACTACCACATTTCTCTGAAAAGACTTACCTGGAAAATAAGCCCTAGTATGATATTTCAGAGTACTCATAATAAGAGCTCTACTCCCAAAATAAGCCATAATTAAGATAGGCAGATGAATGCATTTAATATGTCTGTTGTGCTGCATAATAGATGTATTGAAGTATAACATAATATACAATGTAAATATTATCATTGATAAAGATAATGTAAATTATAATTATTTGTAAATACTCAAGTGGAAAACTTTGAACAAGAGGAAATTGTCTGTTGAAACAGATGAACTCAAGACTCTCCCTGAATGAACAGTCGGAGTATGGATATAATACACAAATAATGTGTGTACTTGATCATGAAAAGACATGGTTGTGTCTAATGTGCACCCTTAAAATTTTTTTTTGTCTTTTTCCTTTTTATCGGTACCAGGGATTGAACTCACGACTGCCTGCTTGCAAGGCAGGCGCTTATGCCGCTAAGCTAAATCCCCAGCCCCCGCACCCTTATAATTTGATACATCGTGTTGTAATGGACATAGTGTACTAATGTGAAATAAAGAAATGTTTTCTTGGTTTTTTTTTTGTTTGTTTGTTTTTTGTTTTTGAGACAGGTTCTTGCTATGCAGTTCATGCTGGCCTTGAACTTGCTGTGTAGCCCAGGCCAGCCTCAAATTTGCAGCAGTTCTCCTGCCTCAGCCTCCTGAGTGCTGGGATTATAGGCATATGCCACCACACCTGGTTTTTTGCAGCTCGTACTTTCCATAGAATTTTGTATCTCTTGGATGTATTTAGTATGCTTTCATGAACTCTAATGTGGTTATTCCTTTTTTTTTGATGGTACCAGTGACTGGACTCACGACCTTGTGCTTGCCAGTGAAGTGCTTGTGCCACTGAGCTAAATCCCTGGCATTTATTATTATTATTATTATTATTTTGGTTATTCATGTTTTGTATTATTATCAGCAAGCTTTTTTTCTCTTACTGTTTTTGTTTTGAAACAGGTTTACTATATAATTTATGCTGAGTTTGATTTTTCACTGTGTAGCCCAGGCTGGTCTTGAACTTGTAGTGATTCTCCTGCCTCAGCCTACTGAGTGCTGGGATTACAGGCATATCCCACTGTACCTGGCTCAGATAGCTTTTTATTAATGTGTTCTGTAATTCAGTGACTACTGTGTTTATTAAGTCTGTTTGTGAATATATATAATCTTTGATCTTGCTGAGAATCTTAGACGATTTTCTTATGTATGTGTATGTGTTTTATCATTTTGTGTAATTCAGTTGTTGAGCTTGATTTCCTCCCATTGATGTTGCATGGATCAGCTTTGGGAGAATAGGGAATTTTTGGAGGCATTTTATTGTCTTGTTTTCTCATGTCTCTGTGTGTGTTTGCACATGTGCATGCGTGTGTATGCATGTGTGTGTGCATGTCTTGGGAGCTGTTGGTCGATTATAGTTGAATCACTTTGTTGCTAGTATGGAAATCTCTTTTAGTTTGTGTGTGCTTTCAGTGATGTTTTCTGGGCATGGCTAACAGTAGGCCTTTGCCTCTGTCCCCAGGTCTGACTGCCTCCATTGATTTGGGGTGGGAGCTATGGTGTAATTGGCCTAGCACCCAGTTCTGTGGAAATGAATGGCAGTATTTTTGATGTGACACAGGCAAACCTGTCCTTAGGAAATCTTAATACCTACCTGTTCAGCATAAACCAAAACTATTTGTCATCCTGACTTGTGCCACCATCTTGATATGCCGGCTGATGAAGTGAGCACCCACTTCGTGTACCACTGTCTTGACCACCTCGTAATGTCCTTAACTCCCAAATTCTACATTAGCCTCCTAAGTGGTCTGTTTACACTCTGAAAGACACAGCAGAGAGAATGTTTTTAAAAAAATCTTAGGTAAACATAAGCTACTGCCCTATTTTAGTGGCTCTCACTTCAATAAATAAGTACTCACATGCCAGGCGCAGTGGTACACATCTGTAATCCCAGTGCTTGGGAGGCTGAGGCAGAAGGATTGCTGTGAGTTTGAGGCCATCCTGGGCTACAAAGTGAGGTCAAGGCCAGCCTGAACTGCATGGTGAGACCCTGTCACAAAAAGGCACCCCCTTCAAAAAAACCAAAAAAACAACAAACCAGCGTTCAGAACCTTCATTTTGAATGTCACGTTTGTGTTCTCATCTTGTGTCACTCTGCTCTTGTTCCCTCTGTGCTGACCACCTGGTCTCCTTGTTTTTGGCACGTACCTGTTTGGAGGCCTTCTCCATTGGTGAACCATTCACTTCTCTCTTAAATCTTTCTTCACATGTCAGCTTCTCAGCGATAGCGAACATGACCTTAACTATTTATAATTGCAGGAACTTCCTGCTGAGCATAGAGTCACGCTCCTGGTCCCTTTTACTCTGCTCTGTTTTTTGTTTTAAATGTACCATTTTTTAATGTAGCACTTAATTCTCTTATCATTTATCCATTACCCTTTGTAGCTGTTTATAAATTTTTCCACAGTCGAATCTCTACGGGGCAGAGACTTTCTCCCTTTGTTTTGTTCACTAATGGGCCCCAGAGTCCTAAAGTGACTGGCCATACTAACTACGAAATATTTGCTTAATCAATGCGTGGATTCTAAGTAAGGGAATTTGTGTGAACATTTCCTGTAAATTTCAGAGAAATAATAATCAAAAGGTAAGAGGAAACGTTTAGTAGGTATAAATTTTGAATTATAGCTTTTTATATTGCAAGTTCCAAATGTGTTTTCCTTTTCTGAATTTTCAGCTTCAGTTGTGGAGGGTCAGAAGGGTATCATTCCTCGAGCAATCCAAGAAATATTTCAGAGCATCTCTGAAAATCCTAGCAGTGACTTTAGTATAAAAGTGTCCTATATAGAAGTATACAAGGAAGACCTAAGAGATCTTCTAGAATTGGAGACCTCCATGAAGGAGCTGCACATCCGAGAAGATGAAAAAGGAAACACAGGTGAAGTAGCCTACTTAATCGATCACCTTTGTAAAGCAGACATGCCTCATTTTTGGTTTCTGGTTGTGCTCCAAGGAATTTTTAAAAACAGACTGAAGCAAGAGGATCACTGCAAGTTCGAGTTCAGGGCCAGCCTGAACTACATAGCAAGACCTTGTCTCAAAAAAACAAAATAAGTTCAAAACAAAGGAATAAAATAATTTGTTTTTGCTTTTTACTTAATTAGTTTTAGTTTATTATTATTATTCGTGGTGCTGGGAATCAAACTAAAGGCCTCATTCATGCCAGTCAAGCACTTACTGTATTGCCAGTGCCTGGCTATCAGTCAGGTTTAGCTTGTCATTGAGCTCAGTATTACTCAGTATACTCAGTAATCAGTATTACTTCAATTACTGCAGAGTAGATCTTCAGACTGATTGGTAAAGTGAAGTTATTCATTAGTAATTCAAGACACTGATTTTCTTTAGTAGCTACCCTCTGGTCAGACCTCACGTGAAACTGTGGTATTCACTTTGTGTGTTTACTGTGGTATTCGGGATTTAACCCAGAGTCTTTGCACTGAGCTATATTCCTGGACATCCTTCTTTGTTTTCTTTCTCTGTCTCTCTGTCTCTGTCTGTCTCCTTCTGTCTCTCTGTCTGTCTGTCTGTCTCTCTCATTCTTTTGTATTTTGAGACTGGGTCTCGCTGTGTAGTTCACGCTGGCTTTCAACTCATGGTGATCCTTCTGCCTCTTGCCTCCTGGGATAACAGGCTTGTGCCACCACCATGCCTGACTCTTTTATTTTTTGAGATGGACTTAAATTGCTAGGTTGCCTAGACTGGGTTTAAACTTGTGATCTGTTTGCCTCAGCTTTCCAGAGTTCTGGGAGTACAGGTATGTGTCGCCATGCCCAGCTTTACAAATGTATGTATATATAATTTTTTTTTCACCCAGAGCTACCCTGAGATTAGGGTTGGCTTTTTCCTTTAGGTTTTCATACAAGATGACCCAGAACTCTCTTAGATTTTTGTCACACAGCATCTGTTTCTTTGTCCTTTTTTTAAAAATCTTTTTGCTACTTGTACTGACATCCTTCATAATGCTTCTCAAAGTCTTTCTGGACTGTAAACTCTTAACCGCATTCATTGGACATATTTGCTTGGAAATGGGAGATTAAACAGGGTCAAAATGTAACAATAACAATTTCTGTTTTTCTGATATAAAAGCTAGTATTTTCATCATAGAACAGTTTTTGGACAGGAATTGAACTTAGGACCTTGTGCTTGCCAGGCAGGTACTGATGCTGCTGACCTGTATCCCTGGCCCTATAGAACATTTTTAAAGCATAGAAAACTAAGGGAGAAAGTTAAAGATTGTCTTTGATCCTAGAATCCAAAAATACCTATGTGTGGTCTTAAACCACCCTGCTGTTGTGCTGAGGTTCAAACCTACGGCCTTGTACATGCTGGGCAAGCAGTCTTCCCTGGGTTATAGTCTGGCCTGCAGTTCGTCTCTTTGGTGTGTTTCTTTCCAGATTTATTTGTCTATCTACATAAATTTTTTAAAAACGTATTTGCATCCCCACCTATCGGTTTGCACTTATTTTTCATTTAACATGTATATTGTGAGCATTTTTCTTTCCTTTTTAAAAAAATTTTATTTAAAGACTTTTTTTTTTTTTTTTGTCTTTTTCGTTTTTACTGGTACCGGGGATTGAACTCACGACTGCCTGCTTGCAAGGCAGGCAGTTGTGCCGCTGAGCTAAATCCCCAGCCCTATTTAAAGACTAGACAAAACAGAAAACAGGTAGAAACAATACATACTTTCAAAGAAAAAAATAAACAGTAAGAACTCACTAGTTGATGATTACATATTGTCCTCTTACAAATAGTTGTTCAAGATATTAAAGTGAAACATATAAAGTGGGGATTCAGACAGCAAGACTGCAAACAGTTCTGTTCAGCTATCCAACAAAAACTTAGTAATATGGTTATCAATTCTATACACTTAAACATACATGCAGTTATCCATATCTTCATTTATGTTGAGATTAAACAAACCAAAGCAGGCTAAAATCACTCTGAACAACGAACAATAGTATTGCTGGATTTCACATCATGACATTACGGGATCAGCGCTGGGTATTGTAGTGTCTCTTCAAATATTTGTTCATTTCATCAGGCGTTGTAAGTTCTCTTTTACTGTTTATAGGTTCTACGTATGTATGAATCTTAACATGTATTTCTATCCTTTCTATACTAGAGGAAACAAAACCAAGCAAGACAAAAAAACCATATTCCTATAAGCACATGAAATGAAAAAGACATATAAAACCACTGTACAAGGAATTCTACCATGGTTACTGTGTTGTCTCGTTATCTTCAATAGAATTGTCTATATCATCAAACAATTGAATATAGCGGTACATAGCAATATTAATAAAAACAAAATTTTGTAGAGAGTGTAAAACTTCAAAAACAGGTAATAATCAAACCAGAATGAATATCCTAGTAAATCTTGTCATCTTCAGTGTAGTTGCCTATACTCTCAGACTTGATACTATCAATCATAACAGTTTTGAATAAAACCTGTCAATATCAAACAGCAATCACACAAACCAGATTTAACTAAGATCAGCCATGATAAAACAGTGTAAGTTATACAGGGCTTCAGATTAAGTTAGTAGGAAATTAACGATGATTACTGTACTATATCCTGTTATTTTGGGGATAGCTGTCTGTGCCCTCAGATCTAGTGCAAGTAAACACTGGGACAAAATAAAATCTAAGCAGAGTGATGCGAGTAATATGGGTTTTAAATCCTGATACACTATTAACAACATCCTCTGCCATCTTTTTAAAGACTTTTTCTCCCCTTTCACTCCCCCAGGGTGCATTATGCATTTTTGGGTCTCACCAACACCCTCAGTTTTTAGATTGGGAGTGCAACCTGCTGTTTACTTAAGTGGTTCCAAACCTTCTCTCTCCTGGACTTGATCTCTAGTTGTATTTCCTTACCTGTTAAAGCCTGCCTTTCCAACCTATTTACAAATACTGGTCGAGTTGCCCCTATTACTCTCCGGTTCCCTATCACATAGAGTATTGTTTTCTCATCTTTGATTTTCAGTCCATAAACCCTTTTTCAGGTTAATTATATTTCCTATAAAGAACATCTTGGAAGACCCTACCTCTTGATCTATTCTGCCTGTGTTTCTCTCTCTCTCTCTCTCTCTCTTTTAGTGTATCAAGGCCATCTATATTAGAGATTATAGCCATCCCTCTCTGTTTCATTTCTGTTGTACTGTTTTTCTGCCATTAGTTGTCTGCTTTTCTTCTTCATTCCACTTTCTGCTCCATTCATTGAGGCCTCTCTGCCACTGTTCCTGGAATCCTGGTACTTTCCTCTCTCTCTAGAATGTCCTTCAGTGTTCTCTGTAGAATTGGATTGGTGGTCGGGAATTCCCCCAGTTCCTCTTTGTCTTAGAAGCATCTTGTTTCTCCATTTTTTTGCAGAGTACATCAATCTGTGCTGGAGGTTTTTCAGCGTACATCAATCTGGGCTGGAGGTTATTTTCTTTCAGGGCTTGGAATACTTTGCTCCATGCTTGTCTTGATTTGATGGTCTGTGTTGAGAAGTCTGCCATGATTTTGATGGGTCTTCCTTTATAGGTAATCTGTTTCTTTTCTCTGACAGCTTTTAATATTCTGTTCTTATACTGAATTTATGGGATCTTGATTATTATATGCCTGGGTGTAGCTCTGTTTTGGTTATAGGTGGCTGGAGTTCTGTATGCCTCATACATCTGAATATCATTTCCTTTTCCTATGCTTGGTAAGTTTTCTTTAATTATTTCTGTGAATAGCCTTTGTAGTTCCTTTGTTTGTACCCCTGCTTCTTCATTCACATTCTTTGTTCTTAAGTTATAGATCCTCTCATCATCTTCTAGCCTTTGTATTGTTGCTGCCTGTTTCCTTGTTATTTTTAAGAAATTTTTCATGGTCCCACATTACAAATCTGTCTTCCAGTTTGGATAATCTATCCTTAGTTTCTTTCAAGCAGTTTTACCAGCTTTCTGTGGAGTTTTTTACTTCCCGGTAATCTCATTGAACCTGCTTCATGTAGTCTATGTTTTCTTTATATTCTTCATCAAACGTTTCCTTTTTTTGTGTTCCTCCATTCTTCCATCTGTGTCTTCTTGAGAGGTGCTTAGCATTTCTTTTATTAATCTACTTATATCTTGCTTTACTTGGTTAAATATTTCACTTTTGAACTTGTCTATGAGGTCCCGAAGATATCTCTTTATGCCCACTGATGCCGTGTCTGGTATTGCATGTTTGCTGCCCTCAGTCTCTTTTGTATTTACTTCTCCTGAATCAATATTCTCAGGATTTTTCTTGTTGCTTCCTCTTCTCATATTTTTGTTCCTTCCATAGAAATGTATAGAGGATGTCCCAGTCCCTTTTCTTGTTGGTGATGGTTCTTCTGAAGCATGTTGGCTAGGTAATCCTGCCCACTCCAGTGTGCTATTGAGGTGCAAACAGGGGCGGCGTATGCTGGCCTTTCCTCTCTGGGTTAGGCAACCTGTTGAAGCCTTCACTGTGTTCTTGTGCATTGCGCATAGGGAACTGGTTTGGGACAACTTATTGGGTCTCAGCCAGGGTGTGGCCCCGCCACGCATACCCCACCAATCTTGTCTGGGAAGGGAACAACTGACTGAAGTCACTGCTGTTCCTTGTTCTTGCCAGTCCTGCCTGCTTCCAAAAGGTGCCCCTTTCTCATGGAAGGGTTTTATTCCTGGTACTCAGGAATGCAGGTCGATGCAGGTCCCTTGTCAATTCTATTCTCTGTTGGGTTCGCCAGCCTCCGACTTCAGTGCTAATGCATTCAATGCCGCTGTGGTTCCAGTGAGTCGAAGTGGCAGGAATTCAGACAGCTTGCTGAGTTGTGGCTACACAAGTTTGGGTACTTCAACGAGAGCTCAGAATCTTTACTGTAGATAGTAGCCCCGGGTTCTTTTTGCTTTAGTTTCTTCCTGGGTCGAGAGAATCCATCTCTCCCTGTCCAGGACTCCCCATTCTGTGTTAATTTGGTATCTGAGTTGTCTTGTCTCAAGGAGCCTCTCTATTCTGCTCTTATCTATCCACCATCTTTTCTGGAACCCCCATTGTGAGCATTTTTACATGACATTATTTTTAATGCTTCTGACTATTGTCCTGTGGTAACTTTTCTTATGAGTATGTCATCATAATTTAGCCAATATTCTGTTGTTCCACATGTAGGCCACTTTCAAGTTTCAACTATTATTAATGACCTTGCAAGATACATTTAGTAGAATCTTCCTGGAGATCTTGCCGGAAGAATAATTCCCTGGGCAGAATTTCTTAGGATTCAGGCAAGTAAAATACTATTACTTTCGTTCACATTGCAATCTGTAGGGGACAGTAATCTTAAATTCTATTAGTATTATTATTTTTATTTTTTATTTTTTGAGACAGGGTTTCACTGTGTAGTCTAGGCAGACCTTGAGCTTGCTATATAGGCCTAGCTGGTCTCATGGCCTTCCCTTGGCTCAGCCTTCCAAATGCTGGGATTACAGGCATGAGCCATCATACTTGGCTCCAAATCTTCTATTCCTAAAGTTCTCCTGGTAGCCCTGGCTTTCCTGGAAGTGTGAAGAAAATGATTTTTTGTCTTGTTTTTTTAGAAAGAAAGTGAACGTGGCAGTTTATGGTCTCTTTATATAATTCAGTACAATTTATCTCTTACGGGTGGTGTTCAGACTCATGTTTTGACCTTTGAATCTCATGGATTATAATTATTTACTGTTTTTATCTTTTGTCTGAAATCATATATGTTGATTGTAAAGCATTAAACAACACAGATGTATATACTACAACTAATAAATTTCATGATCAAAATATTCCAAAGCTAGTATCAGTCCTGCAGAAATTTTGGAAAGACTTAAGTTACCTAAAGACAAATTGCTATGTATCTTATATAGTATTACACTCAACCAAAATGCATTGGTTTGACAAATTTTTTTCAGTATTTCTCTGAAGCAATAATGTTTGTTTTAAAAATACTGATTTTTGGGCCTATCATCTTAGAGATGCTGATTTAACTGATCTGGGATGAGGCCTAAGCATTGATACTATTTTTGTTTTCTGTTTTTTAAACATAAAGTTGGTTGGGCTGAGGATTTAGCTCAGTGACATAAGTGCCTGCCTGGCAAGCACGAGGTCATGAGTTTGATCCCTAGTACCACAAAAAAATAAATAAATAAAAATAAAAATAAAGTTGATGACTCACAAGTAGATTTGAGAATCATAGTGAAGAGTGATAGTGTGTTTTACTATGATTTACTGTTACATTGCTATTTTATATAAGCTGCCTGTTTGTACTGTAGGTTCTTTTTAAATTTCAAATCCATTTTATTCATAGATAAAAGAAAGAAGAAAAAAACTACAAAAAAATTTTAAAGTATATCAGTCAGTGGTACATACATTGCACATTGTCATCCCCAAATTATTCACCCGGAGCACAAGACATCTGCCTTTAATTGTTTGAACAATGCCAGCACAAATCTTTCTCTTCAGGAGCTCAGAGAAATCAGTAGTATAACTATCTTAATTTTTTTTAATATATATACGTTCATGTATACATGTTTTTTCTTTCAACTTGTCATGCTAATGAAACAATATGATGTTTACACATGTGTCTTATTTATTTCACTAATAAGTATGTTCTCAAGGTACCATCCATTTACCTGTAAAAGTGTCCATTGTTTATGGCTGAGTAATGCTCTAATGTATAAAAATACCATATCTTTTTTTACCCATTCCTCAGTTGATGGGCATTTAGGTTGTTTCCAAAATTTGGCTATTACAAATTCTGATGCTAAAACATGGTTGCATAAATATCACTGTGGTATGATGTTTTTAATTTTCTTTTTTCTTTATGTTTTAAATTCTTTTTTTTTTTTTTTCTTGTGGCACCGGGGATCGAACTTAGGACTTCGCACTTGCCAGGCAGGCACTTATGCTGCTGAGCTAAATCTCCAGCCCTGATGTTTTAAATTCTTTTGGGAAGATACCCACAGGGGAATAACTGGGTTGAACGAGACTTCTAGTCCTAGTTTTTTGAGGAATCTCTACACTGATTTCCGCAATGGGTTCACCAGTCTGCACCCTGACAAACAGTAGAAAAGGGTTCCTTTTTCCCCACAGCCCCTCAAGCATTTGTTATTGCTTGATTTCTTGATAATAGCCATTCTTTCTGGGGTGAGGTAGAATCTCAGTATTGTTTTAATTTGTATCTCTTGAATGACCAGTGATGTTGAACACTTTTCCACATATTTATTTGGTGTTTGTATTTCTTCATCTGAGAAGTGTGTATTCATCTCAGCTGCCCATTTTTGGATTGGATCTTTAAGTCTGGGAGGACTGGTTGTTTCAAGTACTTTATATGTTCTCGATAGTAAGCCTTTTGAGGAACAGCTGGCAGACATTTTCTCCCATGTTGTTAAGTTGTCTTTTCACTCTGTTGATGGTTTCTTTGGCTATGCAAAAGTGTTTCAATAGGGTAAGATCCAAGTTGTTGATTCTTTGTGATAGTTCATGTGTAATCGGGGTCTAGTTCATAAACTCTTGGCTTATACCAGTGTCTTTAAGAGTTTTACCTACTGTCTTCCAGCAGATTTAATATTTTTCTTTAATAGTAAGATCTTTGATTCATTCTGATTTTAGCTCAGTACATGGTGAAAGATATACGTCTGGTTGTAATCTTCAGCATATGTAGAGCTAGTTTTGCCAGCACCATTTATTAAAAGAGGCTGTCTTTCTTCCAGTGAATGTATTTGACATCTTGGTCAAAGATAAGGTTGGCTTAGTGTATCTGCAGTTGTTTCTGCATCTTCTAATCTGTTCCATTGATCTTTAGGTATTCAGGTCTGGTGTTTTTTTTTTTTTAACCAGTGCTATACTGTTGTTATCACAGTAGTTTTATAGTATAATTTCAGATCAGGGATTCTGGTGCTCTCTGTCTTGACTTTATTTGCTGTTCTAAGTGTCTTCTGGTTCCAGATGAATTTTAGGACTGTTTTCTCTAATTCTGTGCGATTTGCTATTGAGATTTTATTGGGATTGCATTGAATGTGTGTAACAGTTTTAGAAGTATTGCCATTTTCACTGTATTGGTTCTTCCTACCCAAGAGCACATGATCTTTCTCTGTTTTCTAATATCTTCTTCAATTTTCTTTTTCAGAGTACTGTAGTTTTCAATGTAGAGGTCTTGTACATCCTTTGTTAGATTGATTCCTAGGTATTTCATATTTTTGGATGCTATTGTAAAAGGTATTGATTCACTGATTTCTCTCTCAGTTTGTTATATACAGGAAGGCTATTGATTTTTGAGTGTTGACTGTGTAACCAGCTACATTACTGAATTTTCTTGTTCAGTCCAGAAGTCTTTTGGTGGAGTTTTTGGGTTCTTCTGGGTAGAATATCAGATCATCTGCAAATAACAATAGTTTAACTTCTTCTTTTTCTTTCTTTATTCCTTTTATTTCTTTCTCTTGTTTAATTGCTCCAGCTGAAGTTTCCAGGACTGTGTTGAGTAAGAGTGGAGACAGTAGACATCTTTGTTTTGTTCCTGATTTTAAAATAAAAGCTTCCAGTTTTTGTCCATGTAGTATGATGTTGACTGTTGGTTTGTTGTAGATGGTTTTTATCAGTTTATCCCCTCTTTTTCTGGTCTTCCATTCCACCATCTGTTTTTTCTTGGGTGGTGCTTAGCATTTCTCTAACTATTCTGCTTATGTCTAGTTTCAGGTCATTAATAACTTCATTCCTGAACTTGTCTATGAGGCTCTGATGATTGCGCTTTATATCTATTGGTGCTGTGTCTGCTATTGCCTCTTTCTCAGGATTGGGGGCCGAAGACCCTTTCTTGTTGCTGCCTCTTCCCATATTCTTTATTCCTTATATATGCAAGCGTATATAGGAGGCCAGCTTCCTTCCCTGTCGGCCACAGTCTGATTGAATTGTGCCGGATAGGTGTTCCTGCCCACCGCAGCGCACCAGGAAGTTGCAGACCAGGCAGCCTATACGGGGCCTGCCCCTCCAGGTCACCGTCAAGCACAGGGATCTGGGTTGTTCTAGCCTACTGGGTCTCAGCCAGCAGCATCACGTAGACTAGGCACTGCTCACCAATCCCACTTTGAGAGGAGGATATGTGACTGAAGTCACTGCAGTGCCCTGTTCCTGCAAGTCTGCCCGGTCCCAGAATGTCCTCTGTTGGAGTCTCCTAGACCATGGAAGAGTCCCAGTTTCTCTCACTCACCACAGGTCAATGCACAGCTCCCCGCCCGTCCTGCTTTCAATTCCGTTCACCGATTCCCATTCTCAGAGCTTTCGCTCGTCTCTCTCCCTTCGAGCAAATCGCGGCTTCCAGTGGCGCAGGCTCCAGCTTCCACACTGAGGCTTTTCTGTTCCCGTTATAGCACCAGGATTGCATTCCCAGTTGGTTTCTCTCAGCCCAGTTCGTTCTTGGGTCAGCAGGGCTTATCTCCACTTGCTTATGATTCCTTACTCTGCACCATTCCTGAATTCTAAGTTGGGTCTTTCAGAGAGCCTCCGTAGCTGCTGCTATCTGTCCACCATGTTCTCCTGGAAGTCTCGGAAAAATTTTTTAAAAATGGTTCTTTTCAGAGATTTTCTAGAACTAACAGTACTGCTGACATTGCTGTTCACAGTGCTATTCATCTTGTTTAAAGGACTCTCTGGGTCCTTAAGGAGGTGATGACTATTGTGTGGTTTATTTACTGTACTGGATTTTGATGTGAACCTGGTTTTGAAACTTGCTCTTGTTATTTTAAGTGATCGTTGGGGCCAAGGAGTGCCATGTGGAGAGCGTGGATGAATTGATGAGTCTTCTGGAGGTAGGGAACGCGGCTCGACACACAGGGACCACCCAGATGAATGAGCGCTCCAGCAGATCACACGCGATTTTCACCATCAGCATCTGTCAAGTGGGAAGAAATCCAGAGGCTGGTGAAGATGGATCGTGGTACACCAATCAGCGTATTGTCTCAAAGTTTCACTTTGTGGATTTGGCTGGGTCGGAAAGAGTAACCAAAACGGGAAATACTGGTGAACGGTTCAAAGAATCCATTCAAATCAACAGTGGGTTGTTGGCTTTAGGAAATGTGATAAGCGCCCTGGGGGACCCACGCAGGAAGAGTTCACATATCCCATACAGGGATACTAAAATTACCCGGCTCCTGAAAGACTCCCTGGGAGGCAGTGCCAAGACTGTTATGATCACATGTGTCAGCCCATCCTCCTCAGATTTTGATGAGTCCTTAAATTCTCTCAAATATGCCAACAGAGCACGGAACATTAGAAACAAGCCCACTTTGAACTTTAGTCCTGAGTCAGACCGTATGGATGAAATGGAATTTGAGATTAAGTTGCTTCGAGAAGCTTTGCAAAGCCGGCCGACTAGCATCAGTCAAACTAGCCAGATTCCACAAGAGGGCACACTTAATAAAAACAGGATCCATTCTCTTGAAAAGCAAGTAGCTCAGCTACAAGGGGAATGTCTGAGTTACCAAAACTGTATAGAGGAAGCCTTTACCTTCTTGATGGACTTAAAAGATACTGTTAGCCTAAACCAGGAGCAGCATCATAAACTTCAGGAGTGGTTTAGCATGGTCAGAAAGGCTGCCCTTACATCATTCCCAGGAAGCAAAGGCGTTGGAAACCAAGAAGAAGGACCCCAGCATAGCACAGTTCTCCAGCTGAAGAGAGAGCTTAAGAAATGCCAGGTAAGTAGACATCACTTTTATGAGTAATATGTTTGAGGGCTACATTTATTAGGTGTGTAAATTCTAAGTCATATTGGAACGTGAGAATTTTAAAAAAAGATTCTGTGTTAAATCTCATTTGTCTTTCTCTGACTCTTTCTTTTAACCTTATCTTTTCCTGTGGCGGCTTCTTCACAATTTTATTTTTGATGACATTCCTTTCTCTCTCATTTGATTAAAGTGTACTTTACTGTCTTATATGTATTAACTGGAACTTTATGGACCTTTTTTTTTTTATCAGTTTAGAAGATAAAAAGGAGCACATTTTCAGAAACAATATTACGTTCTGTTTCATTGAGTTTTTCTTCCTTTGTGGATCTGTGGTTTTTTTCTGCTCTTGGTGCTGTGGCTTGAACCGAGAGAGGGCCTTGCACATGTGAGGCAGGCATTCTGGTGCACAGCTACATCCTGGCTGATTAATTTCATTATGATGCACTAAGTTGCTCAGGCTGACATCAGACCTACAGTCTTCCTGTCTCAGTCTCTTACGTAGTTGGAGTTATAGGGATGAACTGCCATGCCCACTGGATTTTAAAGAAAAAAAATACTTAATCTCTATGAATTTAGAGTGTAGATTTTAAAAAATATGAATCAACATATTTGTTAGTATTTAAGGCATATAGGTAAGTGCATGGATGCATATATTGAGTTAAGAATTACGTTTTCCCTCTTACCGTTTCAAGATAACATTTATTGTGTAACATTGTGTCCCAAGAGAGGTAGGACAGATTTACTCATCATTTGTTTCACTCCATCAGTAAACATGTCAGCCTAGTTGAAAAAGGCAAATATTGTCTTAGTATTATGAAAGTATTTTTGAACTCAGGAATGCCCTCAAATGAGATCAAGGGTCACACTGAAAAGATTCATTGTGAGAGCTGTTGCAGTGTTACAAAGCCTTTAGTATTTAAATGTATATTAAATATTCATAATATTTAAAATATTTTTTTTAAATAGTGGGTTTTTTTTTTCCTTTCTTTTTTAAAAGTAGTTACTGCCCAGCACCTTTCCTACACAGAACAGGCAGACCTTTCCTCATGAGCATGAGAAATGAGCAGAACAAAACGTGTAGATGGCTGGAAGTGTGGACTTTGTGACAGCCGTAGCACTGGTAATAGGACCTATTCTTCCTCCATGCTTCTCAGGTAGCTGAAATCAGAGGCCCATAAAACTACTGTTTGAGAGGAAAAAGGGAAAAAGGCTAAAAACAGGATCCATTCTCTTGAAAAGCAAGTAGGTCAGCTACAAGGGGAATGTCTGAGTTACCAAAACTGTATAGAGGAAGCCTTTACCTTCTTGATGGACTTAAAAGGTACTGTTAGCCTAAACCAGGAGCAGCATCACAAACCTAATTTCCTCTTAATTTTATGGAAACTCTAAAATTTAAATTTGCTTCAGATTATGACCTCCTAAAGATGTTAACAGTCTTGCTGAAAAAAAGGTTATCATGGTAAGATTATTTTGGAGCATATTAGATTGCAGAACAAATTGATTTTTTTTTTCCTTTTTATCGGTACCGGGGATTGAACTCACGACTGCCTGCTTGCAAGGCAGGCGCTTATGCCACCGAGCTAAATCCCCAGCCCCTAACAAATTGATTTTTTAAAAAACTGTTTTCTTAATTACAAGACTTCCCGGAACTCTGGAAGTGCTTATAGTAAGTACGTCTCAAAGTGAGAGACATGGCAGTCAGTGTGGCCCAGATTTTAGAAATAGATCTCCCTTCTTTTTCTTTTTTTTTGGACTAGTAATCATGGTTTCTACTGGATAGCAGACGGAGAAATGACTGATATTACTCCTTACCTTGTGTATCTCTTTAAAAAATTTTGTGTGTGTGTGTGTGTGTGTGTGTGTGTGTGTGCTTTAAATTCTTTTCTTTGAGAGCCTGGAATACTTAGGAGTGTGGGTGCCAAACACCTTAGACTTGAAACTGGCCTTCTATGCTTACGACCTACCTCTATGACCTAGGGCATATGTTTGACCTCTCTGTGTTTCAGTTTTGCTATCTGTAAAACAGAAACAATATTAACTACCTTCTGCTCTTGCTGTGAAGATTAAAGCTGGGCATGATAGTACATCCTGTAATCCTATCACTCAGGAAGCTGAAGCAGGAGGAGCACTGTGAATTTCAGGTCAGCCTGGGCTAGGTAGTAAGGCTGTGCCTCAAAAAGCCACACTATGTTCTTCCGTGCTGGCCCATCCTCATACTGTAGGGTGTAGTTCTTTTCTTACTTGTACTTGGCCCAAGTTCGCTCTGCAGACCCTATTTCTTTTCCTACCTTTAATAGAACTTTGGTACTATTAAATAAACAGACATTCTCACTGTAGCTCCCATTCAGCAGTGAAAAAGGTTGCCTAGCTACTAAAAGGCTCATTTCCTCCTTCCTCCCTGTGCTTTGGATATACACAGCACCAGCTAAGGCAGCTAAGGCTTTGAACTTAATAGTCATAGCAGAGCCACATTGCAGGATTGCTGAGAACCAGCTTAGTACATTTGGCTGCTTAGGAAATTGTTGGGCAAAGTGATGGGGCCAGTGTTGGGAAGGAGAAGCAGGAATGTTACCTTTTCTCAGAATCGTTTGAGTTTCTTAGGGAAAAATATAAGTACTTAATTCAAAAATTCTTGGCCACTGGAGGCCACTTCACAGATAGACTGTTAGCCAGATTATCACTGGGGTAGTTAGCATCGTCTCAGATTTATTATGTTGTCCTTTTTAAAAGTGCCAGATTGTTACTGGATAGCTCCCTCTGAAAGTGGCTCACCAGATAAACTACTGGGTTTTGGTTGCTTGCTTCTCCTTCTGGAGGTTCTTCTCATTGCAAACAAAGACTTGAAAAAATGAACAAAAAACGGTAGCTGAGTTTATTTGAAAAAAGTGAAAATGAAGAGTGAGGGAGAAATTGGTTCTGCAGAGCAAGCTTAGGCCAACTCAAAGAGGAAAAAACAATACAAGGGTACACCCCAGAGGACACAGGGTGGCTATCATGAGGAAAGAAATGATGGTGAGTTCTTCATGGCGTCTGTGTCCTGTTATGGTGTCCAAATCTTGAGGAAACCTTCAAGAGCTTCCATATAGGGATCCTCAGAAGTAGTGTTGGGACCCCCTGCCTCAGGCTGATGTTAGGTCTAGGCTACCCTATTGAAGACCTGTTTGAATCTTCTGAGAAGTACGTGTACAGGGCTTTGGGAACTGTTCTTGTGTGTTCTGGGATCTTGTGATTGACAGGCCACACCTGCTTCCCCAGCCAGCTTCACCAGGTCCTGTCTCCTATCTCATTTTCCCCTAAGGGACACAAATCCCTATAACTCTTTATGGTGCTGAGGGAGTGGAAGTCTCTGTCTCTGATAGCTTCTTTAGAGGTTGTGGACCCTACCTATGGGGCTTATGTGCTTTGCAGCTAAATTGGGATGCTGTGGTTCACTGACTAGGTTGGAGAAAGGAAAACCTGTCAGGAAATATGAAGTTATGCTCAACTATTTCAAAGAAAGAGACATTATGGTAGTTACTGTTAATTACAGGTTATCTTGTGGTGAAATACTGTGTTGCTTACATTGTTCTGATCTGCTTTGTTATAGCCTCTTTTGTCTTAATCTCTTTTTAAAAAAACTTAAAAAAAGAAAACCTGTCAGGAAACAATGAGAAAAGAGTTACTAACCATTGTGATGTGTGCTTGACAGGAAAAAGAAGCTTCACTATAAGCTCAAATGTGAGGATCAGATCAGAGTTTCATGTTCCCTGCAGCAGCACTGGAGTCTTGCTTTTAAGAGAAATCTCAAGTCTTCTAGAGGTTCACAGAAGTAGCTTTCTCCATTTGGGTGATTTTGTTTTTCAGACAATTCAGGTGGGACTGGCTTTATCCTAAAAAGATGAACCCAGTTACCATCTTGGTCACCTTTACTGCTGTGGTTGTGGTAACGGTTACTGAAAAGACTCTTCCATTTTGGCTTTAATTGGTTAACAGGAGTCCCTTCTCTCCAAGTTTTTATGAGCACTTATTCTCCAAGATGGATAGTATGTGGTTCTCTGAACCAGGAGTTAGGAGGACTATGCTTCCGTACATTTGGATGGCCTGTTGAACTTGGCCCAGATTGATGAGATATTGTGAGAGTCTTGTGGTCTTTGGGTCTGCTGTCATATCAAAGGATAGAAATGGCCTTCCATATAGCATCTCAAATGGGTTCACACTTAGTCCAGTTTTGGTTGTGTTAGGAACCCTCACAAGCACTGACAGAAGTTGGAGCCAGGACTCAGACATCTTTTGACAAAGTTTTGCCAGAATGTACTTTAGAGTCTTGTTGGCTCTTTCTACCTTTCCAAAAGATTAAGGCTGTCCCTTTGACCCCCAACTATGATGATAGACTCAAAGGAGAGTTTTCCAGAGAAGGAAGTCAAAACAAATGAGTCTTCCCTGTATCAATCAGCAGTTGAGTTGGCTCACTAATGACATTTAAGTTGACCGGTGGTTTTTTGGAGGAGATGATGATATCTGTGGAAGGAGAATCGTGGTTTCTCTGGGCTTCTTTAGTTATCAGAGCAAGGGATGAGGATTCTGGCTGGCCCACCCTTCTCTGGGAGATGGGACAGTCACTCTCCGGTGATATGAGTCAGGCACTGTGAGCTGTCTCACATTTAGAGCAGGGCCCAGGCAGTGGTTTGGGACAGTCTCATTTCCAATGTCCAATCTACTTGAAACAGGAACCCTTTCCCTGGTTGTCCTTGGATTTTTCCCCAGATATCCTGGGTGGGTTTAAAGTGTTACCAATTATAACAGCTATGATCTTAGCTTTTTTTTTGTTTGTTTGTTTCTGGTGGTTGAACCACAGAAAAGACCATTTTCACAGTTGGGACATAGGTATCATCTAAAGTTTTTGGAATCTGTGCCAAATATCTGGGTCTGATTGACAGATGCAGTGATATCCCACTAATGTTTCTCCCTCCCTGGAAGTGTATTTATGAAGT